TGAATTGATTTCAATTTGTCTTCCTTGATTTTCTCTACTATGCCCCCACAAGACGAAGGATTCGTTGGATACGCCGATCTTGGACCGAAGGAGACAGTGCCGCGGCTTTGGTAGAGGCTTGGTGAGTAAGTCGGAGAGTTGATCATGAGTAGATATATGAGAAACACGAAGAGACTCACTAGCTACTTGATCACGAACATAATGAAAATCAATTGCAATATGTTTCATGCACAAAGATAGGTGGCACCGACATTATCACAATAAATTGTGGGAGGAGAAGTACTGACACCGAGTTCTTGTAACAGTGATTTAACCCATGCTAGTTCAGCGGCAGTGGAGGCGACATCACGATATTCCGCTTCAGTGGAAGAACGTGCAACAGTTTTTTGTTTGCGAGAGGACCATGAGATCGCATTGCTTCCCAAGTAGACAATATATGCTGTTGTTGAGGTATGATCATGACGATTGCCGGCCCAATCTGCGTTAAAGAACGCATGGAGAGACAGTGGTTGATTACGTTAGAGATGAAGGCAATGATGTATTGTGCTATTTAAGTATCGGAGAATACGCTTTGTGGCAGAGTGGGCATATGCATGAACTGTGCTAGTTTGTTGACTGTGAACGAGATGTTCGGGCGTGTGAGAGACAAATATTGGAGTGAGCCAATGAGGCGGCGATACTCCGTGGCATTGGTAGGGGCTAAACCGTCATTCGGAATTAGAACCTCCGAGGTGGACATCGGAGTTTGAACTTCTCTGGCACCATCCATCTTGGCGCGAGCGAGAACATCTCGAATGTATTTGTGTTGAGTAAGAAAGAATCCCTTGGAGGTGGGCCCAACTTGGACACCCAGAAAATAACTTAGTGCGCCAAGATCTTTGAGTGAGAAACGCTTTGAAAGAGCACTAACAAATTTTTGAAAGACTTTCGTGTCATTGCCTGTAAAAAGTAGATCATCAACATAAACAAGAAAATACATCATTACACCATTACCATTGTAAACAAAGAGAGAGGCATCAGATTTGGTGTTGATGAACCCAAAGGCAAGTAAGAAATCCTTCAGCTCATTGTACCACGCCCTAGGTGCTTGTTTAAGCCCATAGACAGCTTTCTGTAGCCGACAAACATGAGAGGGTCGGGATTCGTCAACAAAACCAGAGGGTTGCTCCATATAAACCTCTTCACTTAGTGAGCCATGCAAGAATGCATTGTTAACATCCATTTGGCGGATTGCCCAACCTCTACAGAGAGCAAGAGAAAGAACAGTTCTAATGATAGTTGGCTTCACAACGGGACTGAATGTGTCATGATAGTCGACACCGGGACGTTGGTGAAAGCCCTTAGCAACCAAGCGGGCTTTGTATCTCTCTATTGTGCCATCCCGATTGTACTTCAAACGAAACACCCATCTACATCCAACAAGATTGTGATTCGAACTTCGTGGAACCAACTCCCAAGTGCCATTTGAGGTAAGGGCATTTGGCTCATGAACCATAGCGTTATGCCAATTAGAGTCACTAAGAGCAGTAGTGACGGTTGTGGGTTTAAGTGGTGAGGGCAAGGGGTGTTTGGAGACAGCAAAGAATTTTTTTGGCTTAAAAATTTTATTTTTAGAGCGAGTTTGCATGATGTGATTGTTTTGATTAGGTGGGGAAGGCTGAGATATAATTGGTGGTGAGGATGGTGCTTGTGGGAGCTCAGTTGTTGGATGGGTGACAGTTTGATTTGGCGAGGAGGCAATCTCAGGAAATACGGGAGGCACACCAACTTGAGGAGCCGAAGGCAAACAAGAATCATGAGATAACACTGTAGACGAGGACTCAGCAGCAGGTACATTTGGCAAAGTAGTCATAGGCACAGGCATTGGCTGCGGGATAGGTAGATCAAGAGAAGCAAGAGACAATGAGCATTGTGACCACTTTTGGACGTCAGATGATGATAAAGGAAACATTTTTTAGGAGGAGAATGGAAATTCGGACTCAACAAATTGAACATGCCTAGAGAGATAAATCTTACCCGATGAGATATCTAGACAATTGTAAGCACTTTCTTGAGAACAATAACCAAGAAAAACACATGGTCTAGAGCATGGCTGGAGTTTATGGTCATTGTAAGGCCGCAACCAAGGATAACATACACACCCAAAGATTTTTAGTTTAGAATAGTTGGGCATTTTGCCAAATAGAGCTTCAAATGGAGACTTGTGATCAAGAAGGCATGTAGGCATGCAGTTTATAAGGTAAGCGGTAGTTTGAAAGGCATATGACCAATATGATAATGGAACAGATGCATTATGGAGTAGAGTAAGGCCAGTTTCCACAAGGTGTCGATAGCGGCGTTCGGCCGACCCCTTATGTTGTGGTGGGGTTGTTAAATGTTGGACCCCCATGATTAGCAAGAAAATCCCTAAGCTTTTGATATTCACCCCCCATGTCAGAATATAGTGTGACAAGATTACATTTGAAAAAACGTTCAACAAGCGCTTTGAATTTGGTGAATATTTGCATGACATCTAATTTAAATTTCATGGGATAAAGCCAAATATATTTTGTGAAATGGTCTATAAAAGTAACATAATATTTAAAGTTGTCATTAGACATTATTGGAGAAGGTCCCCATACATCGGAATATACCAAATCTAAAGGACCACGACTGACTAGAGATGACACGCCAAATGGTAACTTATGGCTTTTATTACATAGACAAGAAACACAAGAAAATATAGTGGACAAAGATGTTAAAATAGGAAGAGAGTTGGTTTGAACAATTTGTCAAAGAATGGGTGAAGACGGATGCCCGAGACGATCATGCCATATTTTTAGTGATGTTTTAGTGCCAACTAACACCAAACATACCTCCTCTGAGTTTCCATCTTTGGGCCACTCATAGACTCCCTTATTATTCGGTCCTTGAAGAAGACGTGCCCTCGTGGTGAGATCCTTTACAAAGAAACAAGAAGGAAAAAAACTCAATAGATGTATTGTTGGTTTTGCAAAACTTAGAAACGGAAATAAGATTGTGATTAATGGCAGGCACACACAAAACTTTGGATAGATTAAAATTTGAAGATTTTGAACCCTTGTATTCTTGATGTAGGGAGAGGTTTGCGAGATCATTTGTTACATGATGACTCGCACCGGGGTCAACAAGCCAATTTGCTCCAGCGGATTCCATGAAGGTGTTGTTGGCTACTGGTGCATTAGAAATCTTGGCCTTGAGGGTCCGACACTGCTTAGTAACATGCCCACGTTTGTCACAGATTTGACATATAACATTATAGTTTGGATTGGAGCTACGGTACCCGTTGTTGTTGTGTTGACGATTGGAGTTGGAATTATGGTGATTGTTGTTGCTATTGATATGGGGATTGTTGTTGCTGTTGACAGAGTGATTATGATTGTTGTAGAAGTTCGAGCCATGTCGTGTCGGTCGTGGATGTGTGAGATTGGCAGTGGCGGGTGAGATGTCAGAACGAGTCTCATCTCATTTCATGGCGGCTTCATGCTCCACAAGTTTGTCATAGATTTCTTCAAAGGAGATGACGGTGTCTCGAGCTCGAATCGCTGCAGCAATTTCCTTGAAGTCAGGACCGAGACCATTGAGGGTAAAGATGATGAGATCATCGTCGGCAACATGAGCGTTAACAATGGCAAGTTCATCGGCAGTGCTTTTCAAACGTTGCAGGAAGTCAGTGACAGTCTTATTTCCTTTGGTCATGGTGTGGAGACGTTCCTTGAGGACGATAGGTGCTTCGGCCATTTGGGCAATATGGGAGAGGATCGTTTCTCGGTGGAGAAAAATTGCTCTGATACCATAAAAGCTGTCAAAACAATTGAGGAAAAGTTGTATTCGTATTGATGTTGTGTAATCTATTTATACAGCTACTCTTATACAAAAGTTAAAGAGAATCAATCTATCCTGAGTAAGTTGACTTTTATAAATAAATACAAAAAATCAATTCCATGAGAAAAGGAGACGTCCAGTAATTGTGGGATTACGGTTGTGAATTGATTTCAATTTGTCTTCTTGATTTTCTCTAATAATACAGTGGCCACCGTTCATCCCTTTCGTTGGAGGAAACTGTAAAGTTATAAATTTTTGTCACTCTGAAACAAAGTAAATGTACAACAAAGATTGTTCCTTAAAAAAATTTTCACTTATGGAAGTCTTTGTTGCCAGTCCAAGAGAAATGATCACAGGATTAATTTTTTCACTTATGGAGCCTGCTGATGTTTTACAAGGAAAATATTCTTATCTTTTTTATGGAATAAAAACATTGGTTGACTTGTTTCGTTTTTTTAACAAGAGATTTATATGTATTTTATTGATAAGAAAAACACATCAAGTGAACTATTTTCTTTTGCTCAAGAAACATGAATTTTTGAACTCCACAATAAATATATGGACAAAACACTCCTATACGACAAGGATCTTTCGGTTGGAAGATTATGAAAGATCATTAGTAATAAAAGACAAATTAAATAAGAACATTTGTTTTTTTCTACTGAAAAATTATGTCATCTTTTGTAAGCTAAATCAAATAAAGGTGTTTTTTTTAAAGGTTCTGTACTCCAAACTATGATTTTAGTTTAAAATTAGTGTTTATTTATAAAAAATAAAAAGTGATCTGGATTTGATTCACTCATAATAGTATTTAATTAAGATAGTTCTAATTTAAGATTTGAACTTAATATAATAATTAAAATTATGAATCACTATTAATTTTAAAACCATTCCTTTAATTTTTAATGGTTCAAACTCTTAATTTTAATTTTAATTTCAAAACTATAATTTAAACCTAAAATCATAAATTTTAATTTTAATTTTAAAACTAAAATTAGAATCAATGGTTATTTGGTTGAGAAATTCATATCCCAATTTAAATTATAATTTATAATTCGTTATAATATTTTCTCCGCACGTAAATAAAAATATTCTAATCCAAGTCTCCTTTATTTAAATCCTCGTATCCAAGTCAACAACCCCTTCGTCCTCCAGTTCTGGTCTCTGGGCATAATAAATTAATAAATAAAAAAATCGATTAAAGCTTCCCCTTATGAAACCCTTACATTCGATCTGAATCTTCTGGACCCTTCTTCAATCCCTCTGTTTTCTGCCTCTCTGGGTAAGTTGCTCCATCCCTTTTTCTATTTCAAGTTGATTTTGTTAAGGTTGTTCGAAATCTCTCACTTTTATTTTAGTTCATCAATATCTTCGAAGTCTATGTTAATGTTATATTGTATTTGACACTATTTTGATTAATACATGTAATATATAAACAACCCTTTTCTTCTTCTTATGCTGGAAATATGCTGAACCTTTGTTCTTGCTGATTCGTTCCGCATAATTTGTGTCCACCGACAAGCTTAAAATTTATGACCTTCTTCGAAATCCCACGTAGAAAACCGAGAATATTTTGATTTTCTTATTTTCTTAATGTTATGGTTTGGGATTTCTGTTCAATTGGTCGTTATTTGTGTTGTGGGGTCTCAGAGATTTGCCTTTGGCTCTGTATTAAATCTCACATCTGTTAATTTTGAGTTCTTCTTTCGTTGTTGCAGAAAGTTATAATTGATATTGATCTTCAAGTGCTCAAAACAATGATTTCTCAGTATCTTTCTGCGTTTCATCAAGATAATGTGAAATCTAGTGGGGAAGATTTGAAGAGTGCAATATTGCCTTTGTTGAAACTTCTCGCCCTCACAGTTATTGGTCTGGTTCTTGCACACCCGAAAACCCAAATCATTCCGAAAGCTACTTTTAAGCTCCTTAGCAAGCTTGTTTTTGCACTTTTTTTGCCATGCTTAGTATTTAGTCAACTTGGTGAAGCAATCACATTAGGAAACATTGCTCGGTGGTGGTTTATTCCGGTTAATGTGTTAGTTAGTACGGCTGTTGGTTGCTTCCTCGGGTACTTGGTGGTGATTATATGTCGCCCACCTCCCGAGTTCAACAGATTTACCATTATCATGACTGGATTTGGGAATACTGGAAATCTCCCTCTTGCTGTTGTTGGATCTGTTTGTCATTCGGTGGATAACCCGTTTGGAGAACATTGTCACTCTCGAGGTGTCGCGTATGTTTCTTTCGCCCAGTGGGTGGCTGTGCTTCTTGTTTACACCCTTGTTTATCACATGATGGAGCCTCCATTGGAGTTTTACGAGATCGTTGAGGAAGGAATTGAGATTGAGGAACAGCTTCCATCTAACGATATAAGCAGGCCTCTCCTTATAGAAGCTGAATGGCCTGGGATCGAGGAAAAAGAAACCGAACATTCAAAGACACCCTTCATTGCTAGGATTTTCAATAGCATCTCGAACGCTTCACAGTCAACTATTCCTGATATTGGTTTCTCACGAGAGAATAGTGAACTGAGTCCCAGATCTATCCGGTGTTTGGCCGAGCCAAGAGTGGTTAGGAGGATAAGAATTGTTGCTGAACAAACTCCTATAAGGCACATACTTCAGCCTCCAACAATTGCTTCTCTTTTAGCCATCGTTATAGGGATGGTACCTCAGTTAAAGGCCCTTTTCTTTGGAGACAACGCTCCACTCGAGTTTATCACAAGTAGTTTAGATATTGTAGCTGGTGCAACCGTGCCATTCGTGATGCTTATCCTTGGAGGTGTGCTTGCAGAGGGTCCTAACGAGTCCAAACTTGGCCTTCGAACTACTATTGGTATCAGTGTGACAAGGCTCTTGTTGCTTCCTCTGTTCGGGATTGGAATCGTGGCATTGGCTGATAAACTGAACTTTCTGATTGTGGGCGATCAAATGTACAGATTCGTCCTCTTGTTGCAGTACACAACACCGAGCGCTATTTTATTGGGAGCAATTGCCAGTTTGAGAGGATATGCAGTTAGTGAGGCTTCAGCTCTTATCTTCTGGCAGCACTTGTTTGCTCTTCTCTCCTTCTCTTTGTATATTGTTGTCTACTTTAAATTGCTTGCATTCATTTGAGTCTGCTTGATCAATGTTGCTGCCTCGAAACTTGGATGAAATGGTTTTCGGCTAATATCAGTGAGGTAAACTGCTTTCTCTCCGTTCATATGTTTGTAAAATTCGTCCCACTAACGTTTAAGTGCTTCATTGGGTGGTGATGTTTGAGATGAATTGTTGCTTTTCCTTTCTCATTGAATTATAATGATATGTATAGTTCTTATTTCTTAGACTATTCTCCACTCTGTATCAAACCTTCTTTTCCAAGGATTGAACATTCCTTGTATGGATGTTAAAATTCCTTTTTCTATGCATGGCTATTTGTTCTTGCTTTTGCAACAGATTTTGAATTGGGGAATTGTACACTGAGATGTGTTTGTTATTGCATGTTATAGTTTAAGATATGTTTGGCTGGAGTACAGATTTTTATAATTGATTTATGTCATAATGTATTATCTTGTATGCAATTTATACACGTCTCTGGATAACTTATGTGTAAGGGGAAAGGAATAAAGTTTCTAGCTAAAATAGCACTTCAACCAAATTGTTATATTCAGTTTTGAATGTTTGACCAACCATTTTGCTTTGAATGTGGAATGTTGAACAGAGCCATATGCTTCAAAACTGTGGAGGTCCTCATATGGTTGGACCTTGACCTATTGCACGTGAAAATCATGTGGAAATTTGAATGAGAAAAAGTTATTCCTTGGCCTTCGTCGACCTCTTTCTTGCTCGGATTCTTTGGTCTTGAATCTTTCTAGTCAAACCTTTAAGCACCTATGTTATTGTTATCCCTTTTTTTTTTTTTTTCTGAAACTTAGAGATGATGTTGGGTCAATCTCAGTTCGGTACCTAATTTTTAAAATGTCTTTAATTCTAAACTCTATCCTGATTTATCAGTTTGTTTCAGTTTTTAGACTTATGTTAGTTGGGTGTTAAAGGTGGACAAAGTATGAGAGATGTTTTGTTACAAAAGTGTTATGTTTGTTATCGTCACGCCCGTAACTATGTGTTTTATTAGGAAAGTGTTTTATCAGGACTGTTATTTTCCATCATCACTGTGTGGATATTTTGTTCTTTTTAACATCTAATTGATGGAATGGTAAATACTGAACAAACTAATAGATCGAGTTTGGGTCGTTTTATATGAACCAAAGCTTGGAAGTTAAGTTCGGACCATTAATCAAAAAATAATTGTACGGACACCAACTCAAAAATTAATTTTTAAATACAAATTTACGTGCATGTGATGTCATTTCACTTGTATGATAATTCATAACTATTAATTTAACACTTATTTTACTAATATACTCTCTTTTTTGTTTTAATTTCGATTGAGATGATTCTTTTTTTTATGCGTTTATAACGAATAGACGAATAAAATCTCACCCGTATACCCTATTAAAATTTTCTATCATCATTGAGTTTTTTTTAAAATACTATTTAAATACAAACTTAAGTTTTGATTCATTCAAATACAAACTCAAAAAGATTTTCATCTCAAGTCATAACTTAAATGTACACAACTAAACACAAATTCAAGTTACAATTTCAACTGAAGTTATAACTTAAATTCAATTTAAAATCTATACTCAAATCATTATAACTCAAAAATGTAACTGAACAAGCTCTATAAAAAGTATAATTAAAATTTTAGGTATAGTTCATTTCACCGATTCAAGTTTAGAATTCAAGTTTTACTATAATAAAAAATTTTCTGAAACAATCACATTTAATTTTTTTGTTACAGTAAAAAATTTTCATATAAAATTATATTTCAATTTAAATTAAAAATTAGAATAAAAGAACTAAACGCCTAAAACAAAGTACACAAATTTTTGTTAAGAAATGTGGCCAATGATACAATGATTGCAATCTTCCAAAGTTGCGTAAAAATAATAGATAACTTTACGTTTCCCTAAGAAAGAAATAAAGTGGGAATTCCAGAAACAATAATTAAAAACCAAAAGAAGTACAAACAATAATTTAAAAAAAAAAGTACAATAAGAAAGAATGATAATTGATGAGAAAATGTACAGTGTTTCTAAAATTAAGAGTGTTATCTTAATTTTTTAAAAATAAATAATAATCATAATTGTCGTATAAAACTTAAATTAGATCTTCAATCGCCAATACATGTGTGGTGACTCTCAAAGTAGCCTCGTTCGTTTCGTTTATTCGAGTTTAGAATTCGAGTTTTGCTACAGTAAAAAACTCTCACAAACAATCACATCTAACTTTTTTGCTACAGTAAAAAACTCTCACATACAATCACATCTCAACTCGAATTCTAAACTCGAATCAGCGAAAAGAACGAGGCCGACAATGCATGTGGGGGCTTCAATTGTTAAAATTTGTTTTAAAGTAGCGAAAATAGTAGGCGTGTGGTTCTCAATTGTTAAAGATTAAAATATGCCTTATTGGTTCTAAATCGCTAATTGTTAGTAAATTTTTAGTTCATTCTAAGTTTTTTTTTTTTTTTTTTTTTTTTTTTAAAGATTCAAACAATATAATGGATTTCACGTATATCACATAAATTTTCAGGTGTATTTTTTGCCTACGTATGCTGTCTCGTTTGGTCATGGAGAGTTAAAATGAATGAAATAGACAATGTACTTTTTAATTTTGTTTTTTTGGTAGATGTACTTTTTAATAGTTGGGAAAATATTACTCTTTTAAGTCATTGTCGTCGCCTTCTCTAGCTCTTTGTCTCGGCAATTGATTATGAAAATTAGAGATTATTTTTAGTAGGTATTATCAAAATTATTTTATTTTTAACCGTTAAATTTATCTTAAAAATTATTTTATTTTAAATATTTTTTAAATATGATATGATTTTTATTCGTGCTAGAGAAAGAGCCATGCAATTCGTTTTGTACGGATATTCAAATCAATGTGATTCTAATTATGATTTTAGAATCATAACCATAATTCATGATTTTGGGTTCAAATTATGATTCTGAAATCATGATTGAGAACCAAGGGTTTGAATCACCTTGAATCAAGAGGGGTGGTAGTTTTAGAATCATGATTTGAGCTAATTTAAAACATCACATTAGATTCTGAATCATGATTCATAATCATCCAAACTAAATACTTGTTCTGAATCATAATTTAGAATCACTGTCAAACAATGTTTGTTTTCTGTATTCGTCTCTGATTCTGAATCATGATTCATGATTCTCTACAGTGTTGTTCTCTCACAAAAAAATACACGTAAAACGAGAATAATTCTAAATCATAATTCTAAATTTATAAACTAAACGTTCAGATTCTAAACTATATTTTAAAATTATAATTCTATATCTATCTGGCAAACATATCTTAAATTATGTTATCTGTATGCGGACTCGTTACACAAATGACTTGCCCAAGTCGGTGTTTTTCCTAGTTTCTAAAACCTACTCAGTGAAAAAAGATTTGATATGGCCCACTAAATACTAATACAACCAAAGGTCTGCAGCCAAAGATTCGTCTTTCCAAAGAAAATGCCCTGCTAAGATCTTGAGAAACTCAATTCCCACTAGTAATTTAATTTTTTTTGTTCCATTGATGGAAATTGACAATTCAACTTTGTTAAGCCTCTATTCACGGAATTGTAACGTCACCCTCCAAACAGCAAGAAACAGCTTTTCCCTGAAGCACCCAATAAAAGATTAAAAGAAAAAACATATTCCAAGGATTTTTTTTTGGCAACCATTAGGATTATTTAGGATTTATCTAAGTTGTTTAATTATTTGGTGATGTTAATCTTATTATTAGATTTGAAGAATCTATAAATAGAAGTATTTGCATTTTGCGATTCAAACTTTTGACGACAAATGAATATTAAGATTATTTGAGTTCTTATTATCATTTAATTTCTAACTCAGGTAAGTTATATTTTTTTCCTGGTTCAATTCTTCTTTTTAAATTCCATATATGTTATACATTCTATTTCGGTCGTATGTAATCTTAAATATTAATAGTAATAATAATGTTCGTTGAATGTTCTATTAGAAAATGATAAATTTTACTATTTAATGAGAAGTACGTCACCTTAACCTTATCGAGCATGTAAAATGTCAGGGTATGTGGGGCGTGATCCCAAACACGTTTAATTGAGTACTAAATTAGTCACCCAATACTAAACTTTTGACCATAAACTCAGTTACGGTAATCCTTTTGTCGTAACCACCGTATCATATCATATTCGTAGGTATATACAGGGCATAGGTAATAGAGCGATGATTTTACTATGTTGAAATATCAAATGTTTATTAATTCACAAAATAAATAAATAAATAAAAGAAATCTACATCCATTTATGAATTGGGAATATGCGGAGAATCGTAATAAAAGCAAGCCCCATGCCTTGTTAACTTGTTTGCCACTATGTACGGTTATTATTAATATCTTATTTAATGTGTTCTTTTTTGCCCGTTTGTCGTTACATATGTTTTTTTAAATAATGGAAAGATTAGCTTAATGACTTTATTCGTAGGATTATTTTGGCCCCATTTCGAAAAGAAGATCCAAAGAAATCCTCCAATTCGTACCATGTTGGATGGATGATATTAACCATGTCCCTATGGAAGGCTGGAGTTCAAAGTCAAATACGATACGAGTATCTTATAAAGCTCTTTTTCCCTTACTATCCTCAAGAAATATGCCTTTTAAATAAAGGAATGGTGGTGATCATTTTATTTTTTGATTCTTTTCTTTTTATACAAAAAAAATACGGACTGAATTTCTACCTTTCCAAACTCAAACTCTTTTAGACGCTCTATAGTCTATCCTATGTCATTTAACCAAATTATTATCTTATTCCTTCTAATTTGATTCAATACTCACTAAGGGTGTGTTTGGTTGGGTGAAAATGAATGGAATAGATGGAATGTAATTCTAATTTGATATTTTGTTGGATTTATAACAAAGGAAACGATCATTCAAAATGAATGGTCATTCACCTATTTTGAGTGAATCATCATTAATTCCTCATATAGAAGGAATGGCCATTCTAAGCTATTTTTTATTTTTTTCCCTAATTACCCTTCAATATTATAATATAATTAAAATATATTATATAGTAGTTATATCTTATAATATAATATAAAAATGAGAGCTACATCCACTGTAATTTTGTATATCTTTGTTGGAAGATCACAACTTACAATCATAATTCTTACTAAATCTGTCTTTTTTTAGTCATTTTTCCGAACCCCTTCCTTACTGGGGTCTTCCTCTTTTTATATTGGGCTTCCTTCGCTTAGGGGGTTTCCTTCATAGGTAGAAGCACTCAAGTGCTCTCCTTTGGTAGGCCCA